CTTAAGCACATGGTGCCAGCCCTGGCCCCAGCCTCCCTGGCAGTGCCTGGCAGCCCTGCAGGGCCTGCACACTTCCCTTTGAGCTGCACCTTTGTCCACGTGGTGATGTGCAGCTGCATGGGAATTTGCCTGTGGCTGAACATCTCCATGGCACTCCCTCTCTGCAGCACACGCAGCAAGGAACTGGAGGCTCCTGACCAGTGGTACCTGTGCTGCACCAGCCCACTGCCCCATGGTTTTTTTGGCATGCTTTTGCCCTCAGGAACTAACTTGTGCATCAGGGGCAGTGGGAGCTGCGAGGTCCTGGCACACACAGCTCTGTGCTTGCTGCTCAGCCTCCCATCACTGTCTGCCTGCTCCTTGGAAAAGGCAAGCAACAAAGGAGAAATATCGACTGCCTCAGATGCTACCAGCTGCCCTGGTTCAATAACTAGGTCAGCTAAAGGTTAAACCAGCTGAGGCATAAGCAGCAAGTTTAAATTTAACCAAAAAAAAAAAAAAAAAAAAGGGAGAGAGGAAAAAACAAAACTGAAGTTGAGTTGGGGGGTGGCAGTCCAGTCCATGTCACATCCATTCACACTGAGCCATCTCATGTCTAAATGCACCTAAGACAAAAATCAATGAATTAAACCAGCAATGAAATCAGCCTGTTTGCTTGATATACCCTGCTGTGATATATTAATAACTTTTTGCTTTCTGTAGTAAATTCTGTCAGAGATTGTAGTCTAATTCCAAATTATACCATTTACCAAGCCTAATGCAACTTTAAGTACATTACACAGTATTCTATCTAAGTATTTTAAATCAATCATGGTTTAACATGCACGTACACATTTTTTAATTTTCCTAGTGGTGTGTAATTGCATTTGAAGTGTAAGATTTTGCTGCTTTGGTGGGAAAGACACATCTAGCTTTTCACACTCATGTAGGGAATACATACTTTGGAGATAGTGTAATGTGAAATTCCTCCAATGAGAAAAGCAGAATGACATCTAAGGAAACTGCCTGTAGATATCAGAGCCAGGTTTAAGCAGTGGAAAGATAATTTCTGTGCTAACACTGCCACCCATCGAAAAATAAGAGGCACAGCCATTGTATGTCCCTGTTTTCCCCTTTGGTGTGCTGCAGTGCTTTCATGAGTATTTTCTCCTCATTGCTGTCTTTAATAATGTAATGTTACCAGGTAAAAAATACAAATAAACTGAACATAGGTGGTAGGTCAAATATAGCTATAAACCAGATGATAAATTCTCTTCAGAACAAAATCAGTAACGTATGGAAGTCTCCCCGTGAATGGTGACAGGGACCAAACCCTCGGCACAAAAACACGGCATATATAAACACACACATCATGAAAGTACACGTAGAGCCCTGATACAACAGAATTCCACCAGCTGGGCTCTTCCTTCCACCCTGGGAGAACTGCACTTTTCCTTTGTCAGAGGGAGAATCTCCCTCTGACCCCTTGTCATTTTCTCTGATGTTCTTATGCCTTTTTTATCTCCTGCCTCACTAATGTTAAGATCAAACCACCTGGTTGCTTTTTGCTTAACATGGAACCTTTACCTGTGGTGAAGAAGCAATCACGATGCAAGCCAGATTGTGGGTTTCTTCCTTATCTTCAAGTGTCTCTGATTTCACAACTTCTACCCTGAATCATGCTTTTACCATTTCCTCTCACAAATTATTAACATCCATATCACACAATGGCTATCAGCAGTGAAACACTTGAACCATGCAATTTTACCATAAATTCCCTTGCACAAAGATTTTATGTACTTTATTATCACTTGTATTTCCCAAGAGTTACCCCTGCACCTACAGCAGAGGGAGTTAATTTAGCTCAGGAAACCAGCTGCTCTCTCCTTCCCTAACTCACCTTTGCTGTGCAGTCCTGCTCCCACTCAGCTTTTGGTCAAAGTTATTCTTGTTAGTAAAGCCAGCATGAGGTACATGAGGGATGTAAAGGATGTCCTTGGGTCAACAAAAAGACCCAAGGAGACCTTTTTATGAACTTTGCAAATATGATCTGAAATGTTTTTAAAAGGCAAACTCTTATACTTTAATCCTTTAAAACAATGCTCTCTTTTCCAATTAGAAAGGTTATTAGCAAAGCCCCATCTTGTTTATGAGTAAAGTAGGAAATCACTTCTTTTTAACACTTACATCTTTGTTTTTGGAAAATGGAATTAATTATGCTTTTCTATTGAGAAGCATCATATAGATTACATTTTTGTGTGCTATATGGACCCCAGGGTTTTATTAAGTGACCCTATCTCCTGTGCAACTGGAGATGAAAAACTTATCAGGACAGCACAGATGGAAAGGTCATTAACAGAAGTAGAGAAATCCATCTGCAAATCTCACTCTGTAAAGAGTTTTATGTAACAGCTCGATCTCACTGAGATGCTATTGAATAAAAGGAGGCATGATGGAAATTTTTGAATGCTTTACACAGCCTGGAATTATGGGCAGGGGGTTAAATCACTGTATTGCTTATTGTCTGAAGAATGAAGAGTGGAGAGTTCTAGACCGATGAATTATTAAAAATGGATGCTGTTACGATCCTTTAAAAAAAAAAAAAAGAAAAAGCTCAAAGAATGGTTTATTCTTCATTTAACACAGTTTCAGAAATGAGAAAATCTCCAGAAGTTCTTGAAAAACTTAAGGACTAACCATTTTTCAATTAAATAGCAACAGAAAAAAGAAGTGAGGTGACAAAGGCAATAAGATATTGTTTGGGTAGCTAGAGAGTTAGCCCTGGACAGCTTTAGTTAGGACTTCCTAATATTTTTACCTTCATGAGAGAATGTGAACTGTTTCACAAGACAAAAGTTTATGGGGTGCGTAACCAGTGTCAGAGTTATCCAGTTCCCCAGCTGATGGAAAGTTCCTCCAAGTCCAAAGCTCTCTCTATTGTTTTATGATCTGAGATTGCAGAACTTCTTTCCAGTTCTTACCACAATTCTGGCAAATCCAAGATGCTTAGCTGCCACTTCTTCCTTAGCTGGATTCACTTATTCTCCCAGGTTATCTAAATTTTCACCTTATTTACTAATTTTGCTAAATACATGTTAAAGGAATAAACTGCAGTAATCTGACCACTAAACTTGAGCAGCACAAAATCAAAAAATCTAAATGGGCAACAGCAAAACTTACACAACTTCACTGTTGGATTTCACTGCATTTGAGAAACCTGTGTGTAAGCACAGATTGCTTGGAGTAGGTTTCACTCAATTGTTACTGCTTGCAACTGAAATTCTCCTCATGATACAAGAATTGCAACATTGTTTTCCTACACATCTTGATGTGAATTTGATCATTCTTAATGATTTGCATTCTCCCATTCTTCCCTTACTGCCCTACAGAGATTAATTTTTCTATGCAATTTTGTATAAAAGGTTATTGGAACAATGGAGCTTCCAGGACTTAGGATGAATAACTAAGAAAAAAATTTGAATGAAAAAATTTTAACTACTTGGAAGAATGAAAACAAGGTCTCCTGGTTATGTCCTATAAGGCCAACCTCCTAACACACCTCACTCAAATTTACATACCCTCCCCAGTTTATTGTCAGCAGATGAATTTATGATACAAGAGCCTTTTCATCAAAGGCAAAGGTTGTAGCTGTTTTGTCTACTTGAAAAACATGATTCCATCCAGTCCTCAAACAGTCATGGACCTCAGTCTAATGCAAATTGTAAATTTAAATTCTATGCAGCACCTGCCATGGAAATAAATAGATAATTTCAAATACCTCCCAAAGAATGTTTATGAAATATTTGAATAACTGCTGAAGTGCATGGATCAAATGTGCTTGAACCTGGGACTTCAGAGCTACAGACAGAAATGAAGCTGTGTGCCAGCCCTTGCAGGAAAAATAATAATAATGGACTTAGTCACATGAATCCCTAGAAGGCAGGTCTGGTTTCTAATACATGAAGCTTCTATTCCTAACTCAAGTAGCCAGAAACTTTTGGCAGATTTTAGTAAGATTGGATTTCTGGTATCTCATTAATAGATGGTCAATAAAGCACAAAATATTTTTTAAAGTTATAATATTATGTTAATTCCCTAAGACCAGTGCTGATGAATCAAAAATGCACCTCCAGCAAGTCCATATACAAGGAAATTTAGCAGCAGAAGCTAATTTAACAATGAACAAGATACAATTTAAAGACTTTCAGAACAATCTGGACTGTTGTCCCAAATTTGCACAATTATTCCAACATTAAAAAGAATCCAAGTACACAGGAGCAATGGTATTTCTCTTTTCTTTTGCTTTTTGACTGACCAGAAGAAACCAATAAATTTAAAATACTGAACAAAAGGACTCTTCAGCAAGAAGAGAATGCAACTGAAAATACTGATAAGGACTTGGCTGGATCCCAAGAACCATTCTGTGCATGTGCTTGTATACTGGGGTAAGAAATTGCAACTTATCCATTGCTTGGACATTTAAATAAAATATTTAAATAATTTAAATAAATCTATAAATGCTAAGAAGTTGACCTGCTGTTTCATGTGTCTGCTTTTGAAGTGAAACTGTTCTGTTTATGCAGAACACTCGTTCTGTTTACTCTGTGGCCTCCAAACAACAGACAGACTCACAATCTGTGCAAACTATGGACTGAATGAGGAGCAAAAAGCACTGGAGAAACTGAGAAGTAACTAACAGTTTTTTCCTTGCCTCAGGTCACAATTGTGCACAAAGAAGTACTAAAGGATTATTAAATAGAAGCAGGCACAGACAGTGTTATTTCCTGTCACCTCTACCCTTCTGTTGACAAACATGCAACAGATATATGTTTCAGATATATGTTTCAGAACAGCCCAAATAAGAAAATTAGGTCATGCTCAGGAGGAGTCATATTTGAGAACATATTCATCACTAGATGTGGTGGGTTGACCTTAGCTGGGAGCCAGGTGCCCACCAAACCACTCTATGCCTCCCCTTCCTAGAGGGACAGGGGAAATAAAACAAGACACAAAACAACTTGTAGGTTAAGATAAAGCAGTTTACTAAAACAAAAAGCAAAAGTTTGTGTGTGCACAAAGTAAAAAAAAGAGAAATTTTATTCTGTACTTCCCACCAGCAGGCAATGCCCAGCCACTTCCTGGAAAGCAGGGCTTCAGCATGGAAGTGATTCTTTGGGACAGTAAACACTATAAAAATGAATGCAACACCTTCCTCCTCCTTTTCTCATCTTTGATATCCAAGCTGATGTCACATGGTATGGAATGCCCCTTTGGGTCAGCTGGCCTGGTTGTGTCCCCTGCCAGGACCTTGCCCTCCCCAGCCAAATCAAGGCAGGTGGGAAGATGGAAACAACAGAATGTGAACAACAAGGCAAAACTACCAAAGAAGAATACCCAGTAAAACATCAGTGTCTCCTTATTTGGCTTAGGTTATTATTAATATTGAATATAGAAGTAGTCCTCTTTTTTAGGAATAAAAGTGTTAGTATAGTATTTGTTTATAACTACTATACTAGTTACTTTAAAATTACAGAGTTCTTGGGGGGGAAAAAAAGGCTGCTATAAATTTCTCTAGTTTATATTATTGATCTGTACAGATAAAAAGTACTTATTTGAATACTACAGATTATTTCACCAGATTAAACAAATAATAGAAAAGATCATAAAGCTTTTAGCTTACAGAAACGTAACTATAACATTTACATTTCTCATATTCTTACTGGAGGTCTGCAATTCATTGGAAAGTTGGGAGATTCATGTTCTTCTTTCTTCCATAGAGAATATCTAGACTTCATTACTAAACTCCTGCTCGTTGATGCTTATTTACTATGCTCAAAAAACATGAAATCCTAAGGACAAAGCAAACAAAACAAATAGTTACAGTTCTTAAATGTGGTTCTTAGTTCTGAAATCCCCTGGCTGCATTGCACCTGATGTAAACCTTCCTCTAAGAAACCTGAAAGGGTGAGAAGAAGATGGAGGCACATTTGCCATGCCCTCACCACCTGGGTTTCTCCGAATGGGACATCCACAGACACAGAAAGACGATGAAAGACCAACATGGGGACATTGGCTAATTTATCACTAACCAAAGCTATGCTTCCTTTACTCAAAATTTCTGCCCTGAATTTGTTCAACCTGATTTATTCCCTCTCATTTCACCTCAGACTGGAGTCTTCACAATAATGACTATATTTAGTTTATTGGTGGGAGCCCCATTTCTGTGCCTGAAAGCCCAGGTTGCTCCCACTTGCTAATGCTGCCCTTGATGCACTTGGTAGCACAGAACACACACAGCTAAATAAAACCCTGCTCATGCACAGGGCTGTCAGAGGTTGGAGAGACTTTCCAAACTCAAGGTGCTTCACATGCCCTTTTCCTGCCCCTCAGCAGCCCAGCCAGCACAGAAGCAGTTCTGAAGTGGGACCTTGGTGCAGAAATAAATTTGCCTTCCTCTGCTAATGAGTCTGTAAGAAGTCTTCCCTATTCCTTTTTTCAGTCCCACCAAATATTAAACTCTTCTTAAATACAATTATCACTGCATGTAGTCTATAATAAGCTTATTGTCCAATTCTGTGTTGCTGTTTGTGGTCAGTTTTACACACAGAAGTTGACAAGCTGTAGCCCAATTGAAGGAGCACAAAATTGACTCCTTTACCATCATGATTTAAACATGGAGATGAAAATGTTAGTTTATGGTCATGTATTAGTGAATAACTTACGATAAGGAAGCAAGCACCAATCATGACAGCTTTCATTTTCACATCGAGGTCCATTGGGAATGAGATTCCAAAGTTATCTGAATCCGTAAACAATTCCCGTGCAAGACCAGTCCACTGCTTAGAAATCTTCCCAACAGGACAAGTCTCATCCAGCGATTTCACCTATAGTTTAATATAAAATTTAAAAATGCATCATCAAACCTGTCATTCATAATATTCCCAAATCCATTTTGGAATACATCCCTTGAAAAGCTTCAGACTGTTATTTTAATTAATACAGTATTGAGTGCAAGGGTTTGTACCAAAAGGCAATCAGACAATCAGAAAGTTGGTCTAAAGCATTAGAGGCAGGAACTTGATTCTGAATCTGACTGGGAAGTTCAGTTCCTTGATGGTGCTGGGATAAACACTCTCCTGAAGTGGTGTCTTTTAGCCAAGACAGTGAATTAGTTTCTCCTGCCATGCATCAGGAACCACTCCAGTGAAAATTAAACAAATTACATTCTTCTGTTCAAAGGCAGAGATTAGCCCTCTGGCAACATTAGGTTTTCTAAAGTTAGAGCCAGTCTTCTGGGTCATGTGAAAGATTAGTTTCCAAAATAAAATTATATAAATTTGCTGTAGTAACTATTTGCAATATAATTTCAAATATTAAATTGTAGCTTTGTATATCTTTTACTTAATGTCCACAAAAACAATGTTGCATTAATCAATATTATTTTAAAAGGAAAGTTATAACTCTTCAGTCATTCAACTCTATATTTCATGTCTAAATTATCTTAACTTACTAGTTCAATGAATGATTATTAGGTGATTAAATAAGTGGTTGAAGGAAGTAATTTGAATAAATTCCTGATACACCTGACTATATTTTTCTTAGAGCCTGCCATAACAAATTCAAAAATATTTTGCTGCTAAATATATCAATTAAGTGATTTGTGTGCAGCCACAGGGAATTCTTAGTGATCACTGATGAGTGGCTTTAATATGTAATTTCTGGAAATTTGTCTGGTTTATCTACAGTAATTTAGGTATCTAGAGAAGTAATTTGATTATATCAGCATGAAAAGATGATGTAGAAATTACTTAATATATTCTACAATATATAATATTAATATATAATATATTAATATATACTAGAGTAATTTAGGTATCTAGAGAAGTCATTTGATTATACCAGCATTAAAAGATAATGTAGAAATTACTTAATATATACTACAGTATACTTATTATATACTATTTAATATATACTATACTACAGAAATTACTTAATATATATACAGAAAATACTTAATATATATACTACTACTTAATATATACTATAGTTCAATTGATAGGTAGTAAGTCAAGCAACAAGCTAATACCAAACTACTATCTTAAACAGATACATGCAAACAGTTTTTACATTGCATACCTCAAAATGAATGTCCTCACAACACTGGCACAAAACACATGGGCCAGTAATTTTCAGAATATCCCTTCTTTTCTCATCTTGAATGGTAAACTTTGGCAGGCAGACATGCCAGTTCTGGACAACATAACCAACTGTTGTTCCTGGAGGTGCCTGGACTTCCAGCTTCACAGGGAAGAGAAAATATCCAAGTGAATGATCATGCTTTCATATGCTAGTGAGACAAAAACCATACCAGCAAACAAATAAAAACAACCTGTTTTTCCACAACAATATGGCCTTACAAAGCATTTTGCTGTGAGTGTTTTCAGAAGACCACTCAGATTGCAGAATAAGAGTCTTATTCAGCTTTTGCCTTCAAGAAAACAGTAAGAGACTCCTCAGTCTCTGGAGCACACAAACTATGCATCTACAATATAAAGACCAAAGTCCAGCGAAAGAAAGGTAGTGAATATCCCAATGGCATTCAGTGAAGGCATTATAGGGTACAGCTACTACAAATGCCTCAGCAGGAGCTCTGAGTAGGCTCAGATTTAGAGTTTCAGAAGTTTCATCATCCCAGAATTACGTTAAAGTTTTAAAAACCTCATGATCTCCTATGTTGAATGCCACTGTAGCTTTCAGAGCTGTAAAATGAAAACTAGCTATTATTTTATGAAAGCTGTTGCCTTACTCTTCCATTCCAAGCCCATCCCCAGTGCAGATTACAACACCAGCCACAAGTTCCCCGACATGCTGCTCAATCAGGTTCTTCATTACCACAACCAGAACTGCCCAGTGAGCCCAAGTGTTTCACCTCCCCTCCTGACTCAGGACAACGCCACCATAAAGCTGCACAGGAGGTGCCTGTCCCAGGAGAAGGGAGGCAGTGAGAGGCAGAACTCACCTCCTGCAAACAGCAGGGGCAGCAGCAGGAGCCACAGCGGAGAGGCCTGTGCAGCGTTATCACCTCACGGCCCAGGTTATCAGTGATCTTTATGGTGAAGGGCCGTGTTGGCCCACAGCAGTTCCTGGTCAAGCAGTCAGTGTCCTCTGCTGCAAAGTACACCCTTTGCCCCAGCACGTTCTTCAGTTCGTATTTGTTGTTTTCTTCAAAGCCAGTCACAACTGGAAAATGGGGGAAAACCTGCTAAATTCCTAGGAGAGTCTGGTCAGACTCCCTGCTCACTCTGCAGCTGCTCTTTGGGAAGGTAAAGCCTTTCTCAAAGGCTGTCAGAGGCACCCTCTGGCAAAGGGACACGATAGGAAAGGATCCTCAAGCAGCGAAGCCTGACAGAAATGTTCAAGGGAAGAAGCCACCGTGAGCAAGGACATGTGGGAAGAAACTGAGATTCCCATCTGTCCCCAGTGTCCCCCCTGGCCACAGGCACCTGCTGCCTGAATAAGCACCACCATTACCAATAACAGCAGGGAAGGCTCTCAGAGGAGAATTGAATGGCTAAGAGTTAAAGAGAGCTGTGAATTTAGGGGTGAAGCCAGAAAACAGCACTAATACAATAAGAAAACCACAAAAAAACCCTCTCAGTCAAGATTTACAGCAGCACGCATCAAAAGCAACAAGAGTCAGGAGAGACAGTTTAATTCATTTCTATAACAAATGAGAGCACTCTTAAAAGTTTTAGAAAGTATCGGAAAAAAAAACGCAGCAGCAATGTTAGGGGTCAGCTGGGAAGTATGATCCACTTCATTCCTTCTATTTGAAAGACACTGATGATACAACTTGGATATTCTTAAATCACAGAATGAGGAGAGCAGAAGGAAAGCCATTCAATGTGCTAAAACAGCAAGACTGCCTGTAAAAGGGATCAAAGCTACATGCCAGTCCATGGAATTAGGTGGGATATGACAAGACAGAAAACAAGATCTATAAGTAAGGAAGAGAGAAGAGTAGAAATCATTGTTAACAAATAACATTGGAAATGTGTGACTTCATCTATAAATAGCTATTTATCAACTATATTTACTATAACAAGAGTGACACTCAAAACTCAAAACTTCACTGTTCTTGGGATTGTTAGATTTAAATACTTTGTACTTACTCTCAAGAACCTCAAGTTGCTGATGAATTAATATCTGGTCAATCTGCTCATGGTTGAAAAATTGAAGAGAATAAACAATTAACAAGTTGCAACTAAGAAAAACTGTCATTTTAAGAACTGCTGCTGTTTCATTTTAGAATAAAAGTGTATGGATCAATACACTGTGTAGAGGCAGATAATCTCCCAGGTAACTCTGGGAATAGCTCACTCCTTGGCCTCTCTTCTGTCAGTTTAGCAGGAGAGTGTTCCAGGGCACTGGGGCTGACGGGGGGAGCTGAACCCAAACTGGGCTGGTGACAAGCACACAGGGCTACCACACCTGTGATCCTTTCAGGACTCAGAGCCTGAGAGAGCTCTGGCATCACGTCCCAGAGACTCCACACAGACAAAAGCAGGAAATTGGGGTATTTAGAGTAGAAGCTCAGCTACTGCTCAGTTCTAAAGAAAATTCAGGGGAAAAGAAGCCCCTCCTCACTAGTGCTTTTTTTTTTTTTTCCCTTTTTTTTAAGCACTTTGCAGAAGTGGAAACAATACATCAGTATTAATCTTTTCAGTGCTGAGATGAACTGTATTTTACAGTACAAAGACATATTCAGTAATGTGGAAACAATTCTTATTTTGCTATTAGCATTCCCTATGCTGTGAAGTCTGACTGGCAGCTCTACCAACACTATTAAGAGGTGTGAAGAAAGCATCATATAGAAAATTAAGTGCTCCTAATGTGCTAGAGTTGCCCATATTATAGATATTTATTCTATACACCTTTCCAAAGGACATTACATTTCCCAAAGAGTAACTTCAGAAATGGGAAGGATGTATGCCAGCCCTCTGTCCCTCATCCTTTAGCACCCTACTTGGCAGGAAGGTACTCTATGAACAAGAGCTACATTTCTAACAGGTATCTCTGCATTCAGACATCACAAAAGGCTTCATTTAGCAGCCCACAAGCAGCAACCCTTGCAGCTCAACACAGCCAGATGCTTTATTTAGCTATTTCATGGATGCAGGCTGCTTCCCAGAGCAGAATGCCTCATCTCTGGGGAAGGAGCAAGGGTGCAGGTACCTGTGTGAGGTACTCCAGTCCAGGAGGGCAGTTGGGAACAGAAGGAGGGATAGGCATCCAGATTGTCCCATCCATGGTGGGCTGGTTCTGCACAGGTGGAGCGACAAATCCACCTGGGAACCCCATGGGCTGTGGCTGGAATCCATAGTTTCCTGCACCTGTGACATTTGGCATGGTAGGAGAGATACAGTTATGAAAGTTAAATGTTGGAAAATAATTGCCCTGTGCATCTTCAAAAGAGTAATTTATCGCTATTTGGAACTATGGAGACCCTTATACCTTATTTATTTCAGTTATGAATACAATAACACTCATGAAGGGAGTTACACTGCTTTGGGAGGTTCTGATGCCTCACACAAAACCAAACCAAATAAATTTTCAAAATGCATCATTCTTGAATACAGAAGAAATTTAATTCACATAGAAACAGGCGATTCAAAAAACAGAGTAAATAAATTAAGGTTATTTCTAAGTAGAGAAGAAAGAATACTTTAAATTACATGAAAAGCATTGGTACTTATATGCTGTCAGTTGAGCAAATGAGAAATTTTAAGACAAAGTTTTCCTGGAACTATACCTTCTACTTTTGTGAAAGGAAATGTCCTTTTAGCAAAGTTCATCTACATTTTTCAAACCAGATGACTTGTAGACCTTCAGGCCACACCAGCTCAGCACCAAATTTCACATTACATTACAACACATGAACCATTACACGTGAACCACAAAGGAAAGAAATGTCTTTTCAGACATTCTATAGAATTAATAGCAGAAAATTAAATTGGAGATGATCACCCTTTTCCAACCCCATATTCCCCATGCCTATTTCCTAATGGTCTCACAGATCTGTAATCAAGCCACCCACCTTGGTAAGTCCCAGGGACTGACTGAGGGGAGCCATAGGGCATTCCAGGTGCTGTGGCAGGTTGAGGTCCTGGAAAAATTAAAATATGCTCTGAGTATGGATCATTTCCTTCTGCCCTGGGTGAAGGATCCCCAGCACTGACTCCCTTTCCAGAGTAAACATAGAAAAAAATCTAGGGAGCTGTTTCCTGTATAGCAAAAATATGCATCAAGATCATATTTATGAACAATGCATGCATCAGCAAAATTTAATGGAGTTCTGCACAGGATGTCACAGAATCACAGAATCATTGAAAGGGACCTCCTGAGATCAGCTAGTCCAAGCCCTGCCCAAGCAGGGTCAGGTCACTCTGCCTGGGGCAAAGATGCCTTTGTTCATTGATATTTAGAAAGTGGCTGGAATTCAAAGCATTGCCAGGAACTGACAGGCTGCCCTCCAATAGGATGACAGTGAGCCATTCCCCTCTGTGAAAAAACCTTTTCTCCCAGCTCCTTCAAGTTCAGACTATACTAATGCCTCACCAGCAGATGAAGAGTGTTAGGGATTTAAAAACATTTACCAGCTTTAGTTTATAACCAGAAATAACTTGAATTTCAAGATTTCTAAATTATTTATTATTTTTACTTAACTTCAGAAATCAAGATCTGAAATATAAGCTCTGCATTTTGTAAAATATTCCATTTTAAAATGTAAATAATTTCAAGTTAAAACATTCATACATATTTCATATAATTAGAAGGTAAGCTAATAGCTAAGCTAATATTGCTTGAATGTGCTGTCTTTGATGTTAGCAAAAGTTGGCATTTTGGTTATATTTTACTCACCTTGCATTGTCACAGATCTGCTTGCAGTTCTGCAAAACAAAATTTTTGTTTCATGATTTTTTAAATATATGATTTCATACAAGAGCTATTCAGAGTTCTCTATTATTGATAAAAGATATTTGCCTCTCTAAACTGTATGGGAAGGCAAAATTACAAATACTAGCAAAAGTAAACTTCAATATGTCAGCTTCCTTCTAGGCTATGTCTGAACTACTACTTAAGTCTGAGCTTTCTATGCCTACAGTCATGCCTTGAGTACCCTGAAATCATCCTCAACTCAGAAAAGCATTGGGATGTGCAAGACTCCATTTTGCAGCCATTCAGAAATATCCTGTAATTCATATGAACAATTTACTGCAGTAATTTTAGGCACCTGGCTCAGTGTATTGATGTTGACAAAATCTGCTCAGGTAAGCCCTGCAGCAGCCATTCTACCACCTATTCAGCTCTTTAAGCTACTCCATTTCTCTAGTTGTACTACAAAATAACACATATCCAGTATTTGGATAACAAAGTGTAGTTGCCAAAAGGAATTAAAAAAAAAAAAAAAAAAAAAAAAAAAAAAAAAACAAAAAAAAAAAAAAAAAAAAAAAAAAAAAAAAAAACCAAACACAAAAACAACCTAACCTAAAACAAAACAAAGCAAAAGCATACAAAACCCCACTTACTGGTATGAGCTTAAACCTTGAGAGTTATCTCTTTCTCTGGGATAATGAGTGAAGCAAGACAACAGCAGCAACTATTACAGACAGATCCAAAACACTCAGGAGGTCCAAACATAGAACTGCATAAAAGAATAGTACAGGCACTCATTCTTAATAGGATTGAAAGATTTAAAATTAAAAAATCAGTCTAGTTGTTCTCTAAAAATAATCCAGTTCAAGTGAAACCATGAATATAATTTGTTGTTTCTTTCAATGAAGATGGTTGCTCAAAGCTGGGAAGCGAAACTGAAAGCAATTCCTTCTTGCTTTTCTTTCCACTTTTAATGCAGATCTCACACGGTGATGTCTAATGCAGATTCAGTTGCTCTTAAAACATTCCTTTTTAATATACTTTTTCTTCTACTTCACGAACTCTTCTTTACTAACAAAACCCCATCCTCTTACACATACTTTAATTGGGTTCTGGTCATAGGGTAGATTGGAATGTAGTCACTGTATGAATGTAGGAACATCACAAATTATAGAAGAATAAAACTAGCAAAAGATCAGTTTAAGCTGTGAGATAGTCCAGCTACATGAACATCAGTGAAATACTGAGAATTACAACTAAACCCTTTGGTAAAGGGAGAATAGAGACAGACTCACACAATTTATTTAAAAGAAGGGCTTTGTAGTCATCCAGAATCTTTCATTGTCCCTACAACTACACACACAAGCCATTGTACAATCAAGTATTTAGAAAAGGTTATTATGCTCTGTAGTAGGAAGCAATAAAAATTTTACAAAGCTCAGCCCTCATTTCATCCCTGGATCCTTTTTTATGAATGTCCATGTTTCTTTTCGGTCACTTTCTCATTTTCAGAACTACACAACACAGCTACAGGTCCCTTAGCCTGATGCATGTCACTAGATATACTGCAAGTAATTTAGACATGTCATAATTATGTTAACTATAGGGGGCTTCTGCTCTTCATCAGAAAAACAAAATACTAGGCATGACAAGTAGTTTCATTTCTTATCCAGCTCACTAAAACAATGGAAGGAGCACGTTAATGTAATGTAAGGTCCCAGGAACAAACATGCTTAGTTATATAACAAACCAGGCCCGGCCCTTTCCAAGTTGTAATATTCAAAAGCAAGGACGCTGAATAGCCAGGAGGTATGCAATAATTCTGCTTTTGAAGTTTTGTTTGTTTGTTTTGGTTTTTTTTTTTTTTTTT